AGCAAGCGAAGAGGGGAGACGGCAAGCTGCCTTCTGCCCTTTATACTGGATCTGGTGGATGGATTTCGTAATCACCTGCCTTTAATGCTTGCATCAGTAATCCTAGCAACGCACCATGAATCAATCCGAGCCACTCACCTCTAAAACGCCCCACCTGTGACCTCGTGAGGTTTGGGGGAGGACATGCAAGCAGAAGCCATAACACAAGCATTCCAGATGAAGGAGAGTCCACATGCACGTGTACATATGTAAGCGTAGCTTTGAAACTGAACATCAGCCTTGTCTCATGCTTGGCTGGAATTGTGTGTACAAGGGGTGCAGGGATCCATTGGTCTTACTGCAAAAGGTTCTACCCAGGGAGACACGACGGCAGGAATGAGAAAGACGAGAAGATAAAAGCTGGGCTAGGTGGTCGCTAGTCTGCGTGATGGGCAAGACTAACTGCACGCACAACAAAATGATCCTGTATTTATACTTCTGCGAAGTTTGTAACACGTGCCACAAGGTTGCCTAGTGACTCTAACAGCTGGCCTGAACCAGACAGGATGTTTTTCTCAGGACTGAGGTACCTTGTTCACTTTAGGCACTGAGGCCCGGTCCTACCTACACACACATGATCAATTTCCTAACTTCCTGCAGCTCCCAACAACCCCTCCACATACAGGGGTACACTGTATCACGGTACTCTGTATCTGGGAACAAGGCTGTGAGCTCACGCCACTGTATCCCACTTCATTCTAAATCAGAAGCACCGCTGTCAGGTAGTGGGAATCTGAGTCTTCTCAATGGGGTATTACAATGTTTTTGTTCACAGGAAGTAGACCTGGAAACATAGAAAAAAGAAAATTAGTTTTGGGGCCAAAAAACTAGCATCAAGTCCTGATTTCACTGGTTAAGAGCCATGTCTTTAGGCAGGTGATTTAATGTCCCAAAGACAATTTGTAAAATTTCTGAAATTGGAAGAGCAGTGTTTGTACCACTGTTATATTGTGGGCATTAAACAAAATACATTTTGCAAAGTCTCTACCTGAGCATGTAATAGATAGCAGGGACTTAAAAATTAGCTGTCTTTGGATTAAAGTGCCTGCTTCGGCAGACACAGAGCCTGGGGGTTACATTCCCAGCCTGCCATGCTGGCCTCGCCCTTGGGGCAAGCTGAGACAGCTATTGAGACTGGGCATGGTGGCACACACCTATAATCCCAGTGCTTGGGAGGCTGAAAAAGAGGAAGGATCACTATAAGTGTGATCTGTGTAGTGAGACCCTATAGACCCTGTACTAAATACATTAAAAATAGAATAAAATAAGAATAAAAATTAGTAGTCTTTACATGATTACAGTACCCCAGAATAATGAGATTTTTGCTTAAGTAAAAATACACACCTATTTACGCCTGGGCTCAGGTGCCTACACAATAGTAGATACAGGTTTTCATAGAAATTCCCTTCCTAAAAATACATGGTTGGCGGGGGTGGGGGGTGTACCCGGAATTGAACTCATGACCTTGCACTTGCCAGGCAGGTGCTGTGCCACTGAGCTAAATCCCTGGCCTAAAACATGTATGTTTCTATGGGTTAGAAACAATCTGTCATCTCAGAATTGTATCTAGGGGGATATAGCTCAGTGGCAGAGTACTTGCTTGGCATGCACATGGCCCTGGATTAGATCCTTGGCACTACAGAGAAAAAGCATCTGTATGTTAAAACTAAATTAGAGTGATCAAAGAAGATGATACATAATAATTCCTCTAGATTATGTAGAACTGACTACTTTCAGGGGTCTTTTGACTAAATTATTCATTGTTTATATATGCATGTACATAAAGTTCAACAGAATGTTTTAATGTAGTGTCTATAGCTAATATTCATTTTGATGTACTCATACATCTGTCATTTTTATGACTTCTCTTTCTTACCTGAATCTTTACAATTACGTTCAGGATTTTCTCTTTATCTAGAGAATATGCTTTCGTATTATTTAGCAGTGCATATGTATTGGTGGTCAATTCTCTTCTTATTGTTTGTCTGAAAATATATTTTGCATTCATTCTTAAAGGATCTTTTTGTTTCATTGTGAAGGTTTTTTTTTTTTTGTTTTTTTGTTTTTGTATTTTAGGACAGGGTCTGCAGGGTCTCAACTACATAGACCACACTCGTAGCAATCCTCCTGTTTTCAGCCTCCCAAGAGCTAGGATTATAGGCATGCCCCACCACGCCCAGTCTCAATCCCCATCTCAGCATGCCACGTGGGCAGGGCCAGGACAGCGTGCTGGGGATCAAACCCTGGCCGCTGCATCTGCCTAAGCAGGAATTGTAGAGTTCTTGATTGGAAATTCTTTTTCTGCATACTTGAAACAATCCCATTGTCTTTTGCCTTCTATTATTTTTGTTGAGACATTTTGTCTGAGTTTAATCATTAGTTGCTTGGAGGTAATGGATATTTATTCTTGAGGCTTTTAAGATTTTCTTATTCTCTGTGGATTCACTATGACATGCCTAGCTGGACGATTCTTATTTTTCATGATTAGGGTTAAGCTTTCTTGAATCCATGGCCTATTACCTCTCCTTCACAGGGAGAAATTCTTAGCCATTATTTCATTTTTCACTTGCTCCCCACTGTCTCCTTCTCTCAGGAGTCCAGTTATTATTAGAATTTCTCACATGCCTCACGGTCTCCTCCGTATTAACCATGTGCTTGGCTCTGTGCTTCATTATGTCTAGCTTCTTCTAAAGCTCTTCATAGAGAATCCAGTTCACTAATTTTTCTTCATCCAGGTTTGTATGGTTGAAACATCCATTGCATTCTTTATATTAGTAGGCATACAATGTATATTTTTAAATTCTAGAGTGTACATAGATCTCTTATATATAGACCTAATTCTCCACTCAGATCCTCAAATTTGTCTTTAATTGCCTTAAACAGTGTAAGCAGAGCCATTGAAAAGTTTATATTGGGTGACAGTGTATCAGAAGCCCCTGTGGACCTTTATAAAACTAACCTCTTGCCTTTGCTAGTAGTTTTTCATGTTATTTGGCCTCTTTGTGCCTCTCCACTTGGTAGTCTTTTATTTGCAAAAGTGTTTGTGGAAATAATTGAAGACCTTGGGGCTGGGGAGATGGCTCAGTAGAATAAGCACTTGCCTGGCAAGCGCAAGGGCCTGAGTTCAATCCCTGGTTCCACCAAAAAAAGGCAAAAAGAATAAGACCTTTACCGATTTTCTGGAACAGAAATGATTCAGATCCTAGCTCCGACCTTGACAGGCCTGTCCTTTAAGGCACAGTACTTTGTGGCCACGACCGCCTGCTTTTGACATGATCAAAAACCCCGCTGCATTTCACAACTGTGCTACTGCAGGATAGTTAATGGAACCCAGACACAAGGTGCTGGGCTGTTTTCCTTGCTCCTTCTGCCTCAGCAGCTGCCTTGCTCTTGTTTTTCTCCCAGTGTGGAATCTTTTGTTTTTATTTGCTTATAGATGTCTCAGAAGAAGTGTTGATTCACATTACCCAGTGTCCCGTATCTCAAAGCACCACTGAGAATAGAGTTCTTTTCATTGTTTTCTTTTTCCTTTCTAAAATAAAAGGGAAGAAATTAAATGTCCAGGAGCACTGGTTGTTGAAAACCGTAAGGCATCTCAGCCTCATGTAATGGAGACAGGAAGAACACGGCCAGGCTGCGAACCCCAGGCAACACCCTCTCCCTGCCTTTCTTCATACATCCCCACTTCCCAGAGTCGCTTTTCTTTGTGATTTGGCTTTTAGATTTTCAGTGCTCGATTGTTTTGTTTTGGAGATGCAGTCTTGCTGTGTAGCCCAGGCTGGTCTGGAACTTGTGGCGATCCTCCTGCCTCAGCATCCCAGGTGCTGAGATTAGTGGTGTATGCCACCATGCTCTTTCTACTATATAGGAATTTGTTTTGTTTTTTAACGAGGGATCAAACTTAGGACCTTACACTTACCAGACAAGCACTTAAGCCACTGAACTATCTCCCCAACCTAGTCTCTTCTTTCTAACCACAACTCTATTCTCATTTTTTCTTAAAACTCAGCACTGCATATCCCCATCCAGGAAGGCTTCCTTCCTGGTCCCTTCTAGCTCCTCTTCCCGCCCAGTCCCCTGACTAGCAGTTCCCATTCTGTGTTTGTTCTGCCCACTTGATTGTGAATACCTTTGGGACCAGGACCATCTCCACCCAGTCTCTGTAGCAGGGTGCCCAACACACAGTGCCATGGAAAAGCAGCAGCTGCTGAGAGCATAGTGGGCTTTGCCTGCTCTTGTTATTTTATTTTTTCAAACAAAGAGACCAGCACAAGTACCTAGGGCTCAACTCGTGCTTAGACCATCTGCTTGAGCTATCTGTAGCATGAACACATGCTCTTCCACCTCCACAAATCCTGCCTGCCCTCTTGGGTCCTAGGGAAGCCTCTGGTCACCCGGCTCTTACTGATGAGACTCCCCTGAAATCTTAGCATCCAGTGCATAGTCTCTCAGCCCAGCTGTGTGTCGAGTCCCCTTTTGGGGGCCAAGGGGAGCAGTGAGCATGTGAGTGCCTCCCTGGCAGAGCTCAGGCACAGTCCCCTCTGATTTAGCCGTGTTACAATGCGTGACAATGAATGACAGTGTCCTGCAAATTAGTAACATTGAACATTGCCTGGATGCTGAGACACCTGCAGAACCCCGCACTAAACAGACGTCTTGCCATTACTGGGGGTCATGTCTTTGTATGACTAGAGACGCGTGATAGAGACAACAGTGCCCAGTCACATGTTCTGAATGCTGACTGGGCTTTTGCCCTGGACAGTTTCCCTCTGGCTTCCACCTCACACCTAGATAAGGAAATTACAAGAGAAACCCAGGAGCCTACTCTTTAGTTACTAGGGGACGGGGAGATTTAGAAACTTAAGTTTTTCCTTTGGCTTTTGTATATATGTTACACGGAGTAAGAAAGCATCTTCATGCATTTCCTTCCTCTCCCCCTCTCTGTCTTACTGTGCCTGCAGGTCAGCGTGGAAGTTCTGGTAGAGTATCCTTTTTTTGTGTTTGGACAGGGCTGGTCATCCTGCTGTCCAGAGAGAACCAGCCAACTCTTTGATTTGCCGTGTTCCAAACTCTCGGTGGGGGACGTCTGCATCTCGCTGACCCTGAAGAACCCGAAGAACGGCTCTGTAAAAAAGGGCCAGCCCACAGATGCTGCCAGCGTCCTGCTGAAGCACTCGAAGCCTGACGGCCTGGCAAGCAGCAGGCACCGGTACGCGGAGCAGGAGAACGGAATCGGTCAGGGAAGCGCCCAGCTGCTCTCCGAGAACGGCGAACTGAAGTTTCCAGAAAAAGTAGGATTTCCTGCAGCACCGTTCCTCACCAAAATAGAGCCCAGCAAGCCTGCGGCCACGAGGAAGAGGAGGTGGTCGGCCCCGGAGACCCGCAAACTGGAGAAGTCGGAGGATGAGCCGCCCTGGACTCTCCCCAAGCCTTCTCTCATTCCTCAGGAGGTGAAGATCTGTATCGAAGGCCGCTCTAATGTGGGCAAGTAGAGGCCGAGCGGGCAAGGAGGTGTCCCTTACGTTTGTATCCAGATTACTGTACTGTAGGCTGAATAATACAGTATTTACATGTTATCCTCTTATTTTAGGTTTCTGTTCTAACCTTGTCATTAGAGTTACAGCAGGTGTGTCGCAGGAGACTGGTGCATATGCTTTGTCCGGGAGGTCCGTCCGGGAGCAGGCGGTGGAGGGTGGGTCAGAGCAACAGCCATCTGGGCTCCAGGCATCCTGGGGGCACGAGAGTGGCTTCACCAGCGCCTGCCTTCTCTAGCAGCACCAAGGCATCCGATGGGCACCGAGTCCCTCTAGTTTCCAGGGAAAGTTCAGCAGGAAGGGACCTGCGGGGCACAGGGTGCCGTGGTGGCCAGCCAGGGTCTCTCTTTCTCTGCCTCCCTCTGCCTCAGTCTCTTGCTTTCAGCATGGGATTGGGGGTAGAGGCAGTGTCCTCTTGGGGTTCCCCTGTGCAAAATCCACATCAGGAACCTGGCTTTGGGGCACTGTAGGGAGGGGTTGGATGGCAAATGGAAAGCTAACTGTTTCAAAGAACATTTTTCTCTCCAACATATTTTACAATAAAAGCAACTTTTAATCCTATAGATATATATTTCCCCCTATGGGGCCTGACTGCACTGATATATATATAAATTTTTTTAAAACAAAAAACAGAAAGAGCAACTGCCACATGTGGGATTTCATTTCTGCTTTACTAGTGCAGTGCTGTACATCGCCAGGGTGTCGCGGCGGGCAGGGAAGGAGGCCCCAGCTCAGCCTGCAGCGCCCATGCCGGGGGTGGGCCAGGAGGGAACAGCCCGCTGTCTCTGTGCAGTGTTAGGAAAATCAATCAGGTTATTGCATTGACTTCGCTCCCAAGAGGTAAATGCAAACTGCCCTTCAGTGAGAGCTGCGAAGAAGCTCTCGGAGTTAAGTTTGCAAAATCTTTTTGTCTTTTAACTCTAGTACTGTTTATAGATCATGACAATGGACAACTCGGGTGCCACCTTTTTCAGATTCCAGTGTGACATGAGGAATTAGATTTTGAAGATAAGCATATATTACTATCTCTAAGCACTTACGATGCTGTTCACACTTTATTACAAAGCATCTGGGTCTGTCATTCAATGAGTACTGTATCTCACTTTAAACTCTTGGGGAAGGAAAAATGAAAAATAAGTTGCTTTTTTTTTAACACTGTAACTACATTTCAGCTTTGCAGAGTTGCTCATGAGCAAGATTTTGAAAGTTTCAATGTGGTTTCATGGGATGAATGTGAATTATGAAACTAGTATGTGACAATAAATGACCACCAAGTACTACCTGACAGGAGGCACTTGTCACTTTGATTTTGGAGAAAGAGTGAAAAGGCATATGCAGGGTTGGCAGAGAAACCGAAAGGAAAGAGGGGCGGAGAAACGAATACTCATTTTTGTCCAGTGTTTTTAAGATGAACTTTTAAAAGAACCTTGCGATTTGCACATCTTGAGTTTATAATTTGTGTGATATTCCTGCAGTTTTTTTTTTTTTTAATCCAATAACATTATGGGAAAGGCTTGGGGGACGGATCGAGCATAAATAAATGTAGCAAAATTACTTTCTAACCTGCCTAAACTCTAGGCCATTTTCTAAGGTTATGTTCCTTTTAAGATTCATTTTGGTCTTTTTATCAGATCTGTCACAAAAAGCCAGATCTTAGCAGGACAACTCTGGAAATTTTCTTCAGATTCATTGAGAGAGTTTTCCATAAAGACATTTATATGTAAGCAAGTTTTTTTTTTCTTTTTTGAAAAATAAAACAATTACTTTGTTATTGTTTATATTACTTTCAGAATGACTTTTTTTTTCTATGTAAAATCAGATTTAATGTTTGGTACAAACCCAGAAAAGGTAGTTCATAAAATTTGAAGCTTTCATTCCCAGAGATCTCTAATATTATTTGTGGGGATTGAGTTCATCTTAAAGTGCTTTAAACAACAAAAGTTCTAAATGTAGGGAGAAGTTTTCCCAGTATCCATACTTGGGTGGCTGCAACTAACCTGAACAAATATTCTTGAGTTATCATCTGCTGCTGAAAATATTACTTCTTCCATTTGGCAGATTAAAAAAACAATCCTAATGTCAACCCACATGTTGACTTGACAATCCTAATAGTCATTTACTTTTAGCTCTCACCAGGGCTAATGATTTTTATAAACCATTTTCTGGGGTGTACCAAAAACAGTTAGGTTTAGCATCACTAGACTCCTTCTTTGACTTCTCTTCAATTTCATTACCCTCTCAGCAGGCTAGCGGAGCTGGGTGGGCCCATTCTTGTGGGTATCTTGCTTCTTTAGTGCTGTATTTTTAAAATGTTTCTGTTTAGAGAACTTGCTTAATCTTCCATATATTCTGCTCAGGGCACTTGCAATTATTAGATTTATTTTTCTTTTTGTTTCTTAACCTTTGATAGTAAGAGGAGTACGGGGCTGCCACGTACACTTTGTTCTCAGTCGTACCACTATTTCCAGCCGCTTGTGTGGGCTCAGAAAAACACACGCCACCTTCTGGCTTACTTTGAGTATCGAACTGACTGCATCCGCGAAGCCAACACTAAAACGGGAAAAACACATGGTGTGGAGCAATAGGAACATCATCGTTTTTGTGGTTCTGTTTCAGGTATAGGAATTATGAAATCATGGTTCTTTGCAAACACTTCTCACATTTCGTTCTCTTACTTTTTTTAGCATGTGCAATATTTTCTGTGCCAATAGGCTGACCAGTGTGCTATATAGTTAAAGCTCATTCCCCTTTGGCTTTTGTCCTTGTTCAGTTGGTTGATCTTCCCGGTTCTGGCCCGGGAAAGGTTGCAGAGGGGGGCCCCCTGCCTGTCCTTTGCCACGATGCTGAGCACCTGGGCAGGGATCCTGCAGGAGCCCGAGTATCTGTCAGCATGTTGCAGAAACAACCAGCGAAGAAGACCCAGGGGAACAGCCGGTTCCCCATAACCCCACAAAGTAGTGAATGTGGAGTGTGGAGAGGAAGGAGGTTCAATTCTTAGGATGCACTCAGGAGCAATGTAGGCTGGGACCTGCTCACTTCCCACTGTCTTTGCTGAGTGGGCAGCCCCCTCGGGCCGGGTCTGTGATCTGGATGGAGACTTGGGAGCTCGGGCAGCAGGTGTGGCCTCTTGTGTGTGCACATGCATTCTGAGCATGCCAGCCAGTGGCTGTGGAGGGGACCACCTGCCAACCACGGTCACCACTCCATGTGGCAGCTTTCACTGCAAACAGGAAGAACCCGCAGAGGGCAGGAGCCTCCTGTTGTTGGACACCGGCGAGCCTGGGGCTCCCGAAGCAGCATCTGCCATCGCATCTGTGTAGCAAATCTAATGAAGACAGGGGTAGAAATTCTTCGGTGCCGTTCAGCATACACGGAGCAGCCACGTGCCTCTGTACTGTGCCCTCTTTGCAATATTAACTGACAGCCGTCTTTTCGTTCTTTCTTTACTGTTTTCCATTTTTAAACTACTAACAGCAGGTCTTTTGCGTTTACAATGAAACACAATCACCATGAAATTAGTCAGGGCGAAAAGAAAAAATAATAAGAAACAAACAAACAAGAACCTCTCTTTCTAGGGATTTCTAAATATATAAAATGACTGTTCCTTAGAATGTTTAACTTGAGTTATTTCAGTTTGTCTGGGCCACATTAGGGGCTGAGGTGGGGAGGGAGGGACACAGATGCCACTTACCTCAAACCTTTTCAAAGTGGAAATCCAAATTGCATACTCATTTGGACTTTCAGGATCATTTTCTATGTCGGTGGAACTTTGGTTTGGCCCTACTCACCCAGTCTGGTTTGGGATGATTTGAGTTGTGTGGCGGTAGCGATCCCATTTGTAGCTCTGAATGGTGACCCTGTGTGTTTTCTGTTAGGTGAGTGTGTTGGGTTCCCCCCACCAGGAAGTGGTAGCATCCTTCCTCCCCTATAAGGACTCTGCGGAAACTTTCACACCTCTTACTCAGGGATGGGGCTGGTGTGTGTGTGGAACACTGAGGTGTCCAGCAGCAGCACTTTGACTGCTCTGGGGTAGGGTTGTACAATTTCAAGGAATCTTTGGATTTCCTGCATCTTGTGGATTACTCTTTAGATACTGCATAGATTGCAATATAATGCTGCATGTTCAGAGGGACTGCAGCTCCTAGTAATCATAAAAATCCACTCTTTGCACATAGTTTCGATCTTTACTGAAATCTGTTGCCAAAATTTATTTTTGTTGTTGTAGCTTTGAATTTTGTTCTTTTTTTTTTTTTTTTTTTAAGGAAACTTTTTAACATCTGTGACTACTAAGGAAACCTATTCTTTCATAGAGTGAAAAAAAATCTGAGATGCTTTTGAAGACACTAATGCCATGATATTTAGACATGGGTGAGGAAGCAGTGCTCTTGGGACAGAAAGCCAGGCTCTGAGCTGCGTTGGTTGTCATGGCTACTGTTTCCTGAACCACAAACAGCTCAACAGACTGGTCTATTCTCTCCTGAAACCCCCGCGCGCTTCCAATGTCCTAGTCACCCTCGAAATTCCAGGTGAAGACAGGGCCAGCTGTCTCAGTGGCCCAGATCCAGTTTCTTCAGTGGTGAAATGAATGACAAGAGAATTACTCTTTTTTTGTTGTTGTTGCTTTTCAAGTGGAATGGAGGCCTTCGCTTCCACGTTTGTGTTTTTAACCCAGAATTTCTGAAAGAGAATTTAAGAACACATCAAGTAATAAATATACAGAGAATATACTTTTTTATAAAGCACATGCATATGCTATATTGTGTTGGGTTGGTTTCCACTCTTTTTCACGGACAGTGTTGTGTTTGTTGCTAGGGAAACTCCAAATGACTTGTACACCTCTACTCTGGAGCTGACGTTTCTTTTACATACATGACCTCGCTTCAAATATGTTACCTTACTGATAGGACCTTTACTTGTCGCACTATACCTTGTGGGAATTTTTTTTTTCTTTAATGTTCACCTAATTCGAGAAGCTGAAGAGAACAATTTGAAGTGCTCACTTTAAAGAGTACAGGCAATGTTTTTTTTTTTTAAAAAAAAATTGCACAAAGCAAAATGAATGTTGAGATGATTCTGTGTTTTGAAAACTATGAATTTGTTGAAACGAGTTTCGTACTTTGTAAAATCAAAAAATAAGCAGAGAAGGTTGAAAGTTACATGGGTGTGGGGTTTTTTGGTTGGTTGGTTTTTTTTTTTTTTTTTTTTTGTATATAGAAATTCGTTATGTCTAAATGATCAGATTTGTATGGTCATGGCCCGGAAGAATTGCTACATAAAAGGCTCTTCAACTATATCTATCCTCTTAAGTTTTTGTTACACATCACCCTTGCTGGAGGGGACTCTATTCTGCTGTTTGCGAGTACTGTTCATTCCTAGCCTAAATATATTTCTGGAGCTCCCTTCTTAGTCTAAACTCCTAAGCCACTGCAACTTCTTTTTTCTGCAGAGATGATCTTTGATATGTTTAGCACTTCCTGTTCTCTAAACCCAAAGAATATAATCCTGAACATGAAGTGTTTTTAAAAGGGATCCTATGTACCAATCAAACAGGACTTGGGGGGACAAAAACCAATTTAGCTTTTCTCCTTCCACACACACCTCATTGCAGTGCTGGGGTGGGCATGATTTTCAATTAAATGCCTCATTTTACTTTTGGATTTTCCTTCAATAGAGGTCAAAATAAAGGTGGAGCAATTTCTCTGAAGCATCATATTCCTGTCCAAACTTCCAAGTTGGCCAGCCAGTGGAATCTGGACAGCTGTGGGGATGTTAAAACATTCCCACCTGTGATTCTTAAATTCAGAATCTCCTCCCTTCCCTTGTCGCCAGTGCAGTTGTTCCAGTAACTAGCATTCACCTGTACAAGGACAACTGGGAAATAGTGGCTTCAGCTTTTCAGGTCCCCAGTGGCTTACTTGCATACAAATGGTTTGACTGTATTTAAGTGCATTTGGCCAAGAGATAGTATCTATACAATAACAGTCTAAGAATTCCCATGACTTTTCTTATCTGAAAGGAATCAAGTCTTCCATGGCAGATAAATTGGAGGCTTTACCCCCAGCCCATGTTTTTCTTTGCCTTTAGTTTGTCTGTCCGTTCACTTTCTGGATGGCCATTGAGCCGGTCTTTTCTGTGGCCAATCTGAAGGCCTTCATGGGAAGCGTTGTTTACAGTAATCCTTACCAAGATAACATACTGTCCTCCAGAATACCAAGTGATGGTGACCCTGGCTTAGAGCTGTTTCCAAGAAGGTCAGAGTGTGGGTTTCCTCTACCACCTCATCTTTAAGTTATTCTCTGGTCCGGGAGCAGGGGCGAAGTCTTTAAGTCAATGAATGCTGAACTCAGTACCTGTGCGGCTGGGTCCATGAACACCGCCCCACTTGGCCAGGTTCTTTCCTCTTCAGCCTGCACTGCTCAACAGCAAACCCAGTTAGTGTCAACTGAAAGGAGGTTCCAAGTGTCCTGTCAGCATTTGGGGTTGCCTTCGGATAAGACAGAGTCCTCATTTTTAGCCAGTGGGTCCGGGCTCCACAGCCATCTCAAGATTAGTCCCAATAGATGTTTTAACATCAGAAAATTCTCATCAGACTTCCAATCATATGCCTCCCACGGGCCAAGGGAATACAGACACCAAAACTTGGGTTGAGGGCACTACCAGACTGGCATAGCCAGTATGGAGAACTAGGGAAGGAATGATGTTTTGCACCTTATTGAAAAGAAAAAATTAAATGCATACATAGTTAAGAGCTTTTATTGTGACAGGAGAACTTTTTTCCATATGCGTGCATACTCTGTAATTCCAGTGTAAAATATTGTACTTGCACTAGCTTTTTTAAAACAAATATTAAAAAAATGGAAGAATTCATATTCTATTTTCTAATCGTGGTGTGTCTATTTGTAGGATACACTCGAGTCTGTTTATTGAATTTTATGGTCCCTTTCTTTGATGGTGCTTGCAGGTTTTCTAGGTAGAAATTATTTCATTATTATAATAAAACAATGTTTGATTCAAAATTTGAACAAAATTGTTTTAAATAAATTGTCTGTATACCAGTACAAGTTTATTGTTTCAGTATACTCGTACTAATAAAATAACAGTGCCAATTGCAAATGTGTGGCTTTGTCTTTTGTTGGATTCTCAAAAGGTGGAGAAAGTGGTGACAGCTCCTACTTGGGCTGTGGCCCTCCCTGAGGATGTTGGTGGGAAGCAGCATGATCCATCCGTTTCCATGCCGACTTCCACTGGGTATGGGGCTGTGTTAAAGAGAAGGTTCTAGAAGATTCTATGCTGAAATGTCAACGACCAAGTGTCAGTATCCAGTGTAGCTCAGGCTGTGTCTCCTATCTCAATACTGATGTTAATAAATGGATTTTCTGCTTAAACATTTGGCAGCTCCACAGGCTCCTGTGATAGAATCGGTATGTTTCCTATAGTTTGGCTGTAAACTGGGTCGGAGGAGGGCAGCCTGCTGGGGTCAGGAGCTCCCCGTGTTTGTCTCTAGAGCACTGTGCCAAAGGTTTGCATGGAGGTCAGTATTATACAGAACAGTGAAACAACAGTTGTTCTCAAAGTCACTCTTCCAGGGTACCTGTCACCACCCCCGTGACCTGGGTGCCATGGCTGACATTTTTAATGTTTCAAGGCCAGCTGTGTTGCAGCATGCAGCTAGGGATGCCCCTGATCAGCGCAGGCCCTTGAGTTGTCACTGCCATGAGACTCCAGACTACACAGGTGGCTGTCCAGTTACGAAGTCAAGGTTAACATGGCAGGAAGCTAACTTTGGGGTTTGAGTCAGAGTCCTCCCCTGGCCCCAGCAGAAATGGGAACTCCTTCCCTTCCGCCACCATCTTGGTGCATTCTGGGGACATGCAACCAGACGTCCCACCACCGCTGTGCTAGGGTGTGTGTGGATAGGCACTGAGCTGGTGGTGACCAGAGGTATCTCAGGACGGCCTACAGGGACTGCCCCATGTCCCCTCCAGATCGGCAGGGCTCCTGTGGACTGTGCTTTGGCCAAGCCTGCTGGACCTTGCCACTTCTGCTTTCCTGCATGGCCTGCACTACACGCTAACAGACTGGTCTACTTTGGAGACGAATGGTGTGCCTCTGACCAGGACCACACTGATGGGGGCAAGGACGAGGTGTGTGCCTGAGCGGGGCAGCTGCAGAAGTACCTCCACGCGAAGGTGAGCAGCCCCACAGCCATTGCCCTTGCTCACCCCTCTGGCCCAGGAGCCCAGTGGGTAGGCAGTGGAGCCGCACGCCTGACCTCGGCCTGCTACCTGGTCTGAGGGACACCCCACCAAATCTGGAACTAGAGCGAGCAGATGGACTGGGAAAGACAAAGGCATGGAGACACTGCTCCTAGCAAGCCTCTGCTTCAAAAGTGATGCTCGTGTGTTTTGGGCTTTCCGGTACCTATCTACTGCCATAGAAAGTGGACTGCAAGGGACTGCCTTTGGGGTGAAAACAGAGCCAGTTGGTCTGCAAAGACTATCAACCTCCCTGGCCTCACGGGCAGCACAGGAGCCAGACACAAGAAAAACAGGACGCTGGAGACACCTGGCTACAACAGAGGAGCTGGCGTTGGACCTGGTCCTGAAAGACACTCCCTTACTACTGCAGGACATTTTTTAATGGATTTCTTTACGTCTCCTATTTTCTAAACATTTCTGAACAGGAGAGGCTGCCCCTACACCTAGACAGGCAGGGAGCGGCTGGGCCCATTCTGACCCTCCTCTCTGCACCTCTGCTCTGCCGCCCAACTGCACTCTCCTGCCTGCACTCTAAAGCGCAGGCCTACAAGTTTCTATAGCTACAACAGCAATTCTTTAAGAATGTGGGCTTCAATCATTGCTAAAAACTGCTGGACCTTTAAGTGTTCTGCTTAAAAGACTAAAAAGAGGCTTGTGCATCCCCAGTGTGTGGCAGGCTGTTGGGTGAAGGGTGCCTCCTCAGCAGCACCATGTGGCCCTACCTACTCTAGGCCTCTGCCTGCCTTTTAGGGACCGTCTCCTGTCCCTGCTTTGTTCACTTTATTAACAAGAAAAGCAAACTATTCTGGTATGCATGAACTTTCTAGTCCTACTCAAGCAGTAACTTCAACTCGAGTGACCAGGGGTGAGAGAACTATGTATGTCCTTTCTCCAAGACAAGGTCCCCCCTCACCAGCCAGCGAGCTGACCACGGCCTGGCAGAACTGGGGACAAATCCCAGCAAGGAAAATATGGAAACTCACATTTTAAACCAATGCCTTGCAGGGGGCCACTGAGCAAGGCTGCTGCTTCCTCAGCAGGCCTCGCCCTGCCATTCTTCACAGATCTTCCTTTATACCTTCTTTGAGAGAGGCCTGCCTGACAGGTTGAGACTGAGAAGGGAAGGAAAAGGGATGGAGGAAAACAAAGCGAAATCCTAGGACAGGGCTGTTTTCCTACAAGCAGCTTTATGCTGCATTCCGGCAAGCAACATCTGGAGGGAAGGGGACCCCAGCTACTGGGATGCAGCCCAGCCCTTCCCAAGGCTTCTCAAAGGCTGGCGGCCACAGGTGCCGCTTACCTGGCCAGGAAGGCAGTGCCACTATCTCTAACGACCCCGTGCAAGCGCGAACCCCAGCACTCCATGGGATCTCAGGATAATACATTATATTAAAGGAAAATCATTTTCTTTTAAAAAGGAAAAAGAAAGAGAAAAGGAAAGGAAAGAAGGTGCAAGTGAACCATGAGGCTCTGAGTCCTGGGCCGTTGGCCCAATTAGGGCCCTACGTCTGGGCCCCAAGAAGGCACGAGGGAGCCCCAAGCCTCCAGGCGGCAGGACGGGGAGCAAAGACACAGCATCCCACCACTCGGGAGCAGCCAGCAGCTCTGGCAGGATGGACAGGAGGCGATGGGAAAGCGGGTGTGTGAGGCAGCAGCTTCGGCTCCAGCTCCATCCCAAGGTTAAGTGAACACAGTGTTGTGCTGCTGGGTCACCCGGATGAACGTTGCTCTCCTGCTGAGCTCCTTGAGCTTGGCAGCTCCCACGTAGGTGCAGGTAGATCTCAGTCCCCCGAGAATATCCAGAATCGTGTGTTCCACGTCCCCTTTGTAAGGCACTTCCACAGTCTTGCCCTCAGAGGCTCTGGAAGAGAAAAGCGCAACTTTGTTTGTATCCAGCGGCTCTCTCCTTAGGCACCAGAATGACTTCCAGCTGTCAGGTGCTCAGGCAGCCAGATGTACCCTCAGCCCCACTGCCCCATCGCCACTGTATGCCCAGCTGACACTGTCCTCACCCATGTGTCCCCATTCTGTCCCTGACACCAAATATAATTATTATTATTATTTTTTTTTATGTATACCAACCTGCAAGCAAGCAACTACTCCCAGAGAAACAGACCTGGTGGCTGCTGCTTGGAACAAGCTCCCAGCACGCCTGCCCTTTAACTCCAGTGATAGAACATTCCAGAGCTTTGCTTGAGTGCCGGCTCCACTGCGGGACACTGAGTGTCTTCAAAGGGGGCGATAAGGAAACAAATGGACCACTCTGCCATCCCCAGGTACTTGAAAGCCCCCCACCAGACAGGCACACGCAGGCCTGTCTCGCCGGGCACCTTCTGTGGGCCCCCCAGCTGGCCACTCAGCTCTCCTGCTCTGTCAGGTCAGCACCCCTTTGACCCAGAGCATGGAGGGGACCCAGCAAGGTGGATCTTAGGACAGAGGCCACAGGGCTTCAGCCAGCATCCCTTTGAAGCGGTCCTTAAAGACTCAGGTATCCAGCACACCAAGCAACCTAACTGTCCCCTCTAGGCTCCGTCCCTGTCTTCACAAGACCTCCAGGTCACCCTGCCTTGTCCCACAGGTCAGGCCCTTGTACTGTTAACACAGTAATGCAGTCCATGCTTGATTTTGCAGAGGTTTCCAAGGGGGACATCTGACCTCTACACAAAGCCCTGATCTAACGGCTGGGCAAATCCTAAGTAGCCAGATTCTGGAACTTTCTGTGGCTACTCTCAACAAGCTGAAGAACTACAGCTCTTGATCAGCAACTTCATTACTTAAGATCTCAAAGGGATGTTAACTTTTGTTCACTGAACTTACGAGACTCCTCTTGAGCAAAGTTGAGCAACTTAAAGCTGGACAAAGGGCCAGCCCGGGGACCAGTGGAAGAATCGCCACCACACATGGCCCAGGACCTGTGCCTGTAAAGACTGCCATCTCACAACCTGCAGGCATTTCTGTCCGCTCTTGCAAGTCACGGCAAGGCTGCTCAGCTGTGAATGAAAGACTGTGACCTGCCCCCCAGGACTGAGTGAGAAGGAAACAGTGCTTGGGAAAGAACCTGCAGAGTAGTAACAACACTGCCACCAAACACAATGTCCAAGTAGCACTCCTCAAGAGAAGATCATGGCACAAGGCTGCAAACTGCCTAGGAGAAAAACAGGCAGAACAATTCAGATTCTGAGGCCGGGGCTACCTGTGGGTTAAGGTTTCAACTCATTCAGCCCTTTGTGTAGGACTTGAGTCTTTTCAGAACCATTCTCTGCCTATGGCGGCTCTTCCTTCCTAACGTCCCAGGAGATGGAATTTCTTCCAATACTTAGCATCTGTGTGATAGCCTGGCCCTGCCTTCGAAACCCACACCATTTGTGAGGATCCAAAAGTACAGCTACAAGGTAGAAGGACACATTCCAAGTAAAGCACGTTTCAGGGGCTCAGCCACACAGCCCACGGCCTGCCAGCACAGGGCAGACACTCACGGGCCACTGCACAGTGATGGCAGTTGGTGGCCCGGCTTCTTGGACACAGGTCAAGGTGGCATGGGGGCAATCGCCCTCATCAGTTACCATGGGGACAAAGGCCCTCGAGGCTCCCTGGAAGGAGTGCATCTCCTATTTCTTATGGGTTCCCACCATGCCTTCCCTACAAGGATGCCAGCTTTACCGATCGCTCTGAAAAAAAAAAAAAAAAAAACATGGCTGGGAGAGTGAAGTAGCTCCCAGAATGATACCACACAGACCTCTGACAGCAGCGCTCACCCTAGCCCTCCTGTCCACAGTTGGCAGAGTTCTGGATTCTTCCTCTCGCTGCGCATTCCCCTTACACAATGCATCCAAGTCCCAGGCCCGCAACACGAGTGTGTGGATTCTACCCTATGTGGGAATGGAGCCTTGAAATGCAAATAAGAAGCTGGGCTTCCTAGAGAAAGGGAGGCAAAGCCAAGTCCTGCTGCCGCCTTCTTCTCTGTCCCCCTCTGCGGCTTGTCAGTGGGCTCCATGGGACAGGGAAGGGTGAGTCCATGTGCTCTCCACTGAAGCACAAGGGCAGCCCCTGACGTGGAGGGGAAGCAGGAGAGGCCAGGGGACCCCCAAGGTGCTGCAGCTGGAAATGTCAGCCAAATTACCAGGAAGCAAGGGAGAGTTCTGGTGAGCCTGTACCATGGGTGCTGTGCACCAGCAGGAAGGGCTCAGCCCAGCGCAAGCCTGTAGACACTGCCCGCTCCCTGGGCATCAGGGATCTGTGCTCAGCCAGACTCCTCCCCCCAGGCCCATCTCAGACCAGAGCTGGGAGGGGATGGGGACCGCACAGCCAAAGACCTATGGAGTTAAGGCAATATGCTACCCAGCCCTGCAAGTCTGAGGGTGCCCTGCAAGACCAGGGTGCTGCTCACAGAGACCCCTAGGCATGCCTCTAGCCTGGCGCACACACACGCTGCGATGCCAGATGGATACAAATTAGGGTGCTGAAAAGACACTGGTGTGGGCTTCACATCCTCCCCAAAAGGCCTTCGCCTGCCGGGACACTGAGTCCCAGAGGAGCCACCGCCCGGCCTGAGGCCCACTGGGCCCGCCTTACCTGTACTCGGCCACTCCGCCTGCGTGCTTCTTCATGGCTGTCTCTGAGCTCATGCCGTAGAAGAGCTTGAGCTTCTGTCCGTTCCTCTCGATCACTTCTCCCGCGCACTCAGTGTGGCCAGAGAACATCCCCCCCAGCATGACGAAGTCAGCGCCCGCTCCTGCGCCACCACAGGGGGAAGAGGAGAAGGACACTCAGGGAAGTAGGGTGCACGTCTCCTGCCTGGCAAGAAGGCCCCGGCCAGGACACTGAGACCCAAGAGAGGCCTTCACTGGACAATGCTGATGGGCTCTGAATGACTCCCTGCGACCCCATCCCACCAGAGGTCTCTTAGATTCAGACAAAACATGCCCCTGCATCATCGGCCATGAGCCGTGGCACTGCCTATAAGCTCAGTGCTTTGGGAGCTGAGGTAGGAGGCTCTAAATTTCAAATCCTGCCTTGGCACCTTAGCAAGACCCCGCTCCATAAAGATGGCTGGGGATGTTGCTCAGCATGAAGACCCAGGACTTCACCCCAGGTTGAGACACCCTGATGACGCCAGCAGCTTATGAGACAGACCTGAGCTAGCCCAGGGGCTCCACGGCGGGTTGAAGCAGGGCTGTCCTGCTGCACAGGAGTGGGCTGGTCTAGACCCTTGTGCCGTGCTGGGTCCTTCCTCGGTCTTATCCTGTGGCACCTCTGCCATGCTTAACACCAAGAAGCACATGCCAGAAGTGCCTGGTGCATCTCTGAGACTTGTCAGCCTTCTAACCCATGAGCCAAATAAATGTCCTTCATATAAACTATGCGCTGTTGGGTATTTTGTCCCTGAAGCCCGTGGGGTGGGCACCAGCTCCATCCTTTGTGCCTAAGGCGTGCTCTTGCAGTGGCCCTTGGCCTGCCCTGAAAGCAAGTGTGTTCTACACAGCGGCAAGCTCTGCAGCTCCCCACCTCCCAGGGTCCCTAACGCCACGCCTGGCTCCTTCCTGGTCCCCCTGCCATGATTTCAGGGACAGAGGGTAACTAGCATCTGGCAGGCCTCCCAGTCCCCCCAGGAGTCTACAGCAGGGACACAGAGCAGAGTTCCGCACAGTGCTTCCACATAATATTCCACATTAAGTGCCACCTAATGACAAGGCTCCCAATTATTTCTGAGGGTTTTGGGGGAGTGCAGGGGGTAATCCTGGGGATGAAACCCAGCCCTCACACACACTGGAAGTGCTCTGCCACTGAGCTACATCTTAGCTGCTTTTGGAGACAGGGTCTCAGTAAGGTGCCCAGGCAGGCCTCGAACCTGCTATGTAATCCCACATAGCCAGGATTACAGAATAAGCCACTGCAGGGGGCTCGCAGATCTTTTAAGCAGGGTCTTCCCTGCCAGGGTCCCTCCTGCTCCATGGAGCCCCTGCACAGACACTGCTGCACTGAGTGCAGAGGAGGAAAAGGTGCCCAAGAGAAAACAAGCCGAGTGGGACCCAAAGACCAGCAGCTTCTCTACATGGGACCTCCTCAGGGACCAGTCACTTTAAAGTGTGTTCAGCACCCACCCTGTGCACACAGCCTGTGGAAGAACGAGAAGTGAGCCCAGACAGACACCCTTCAGTTGCGGAGAGTATGCATAGCTGCAGTGCTCAGGACAGGGGAAGGAGTTAGCAGGACCTGAGGACAGTGACCTTGTCACCAGCTCTGGGCCCTCAGTCCTCTCCACCCTGAATCAGCAGGCTGGAGCAGAGAGGGCCCGCACCTTCCCTTCCATGGCGAACCTCTCTGAGCAGACTGGTATGAAGTCCTGTCTTCACCACACTCTCTCACCTGCTGAGAACCTGCCCTTGCCCCATGGGCTTCTCTGTCACTACTGGGGCTTTTGTTTAAAAAGCAAAAAACAGAATTTCTAAGAAGATGTCCCATTATTGAATTTTTTTTCTTCTTATATAGGGAAAGGGTGGGGATATAGGAGCTTTTTGCCTCCTGCCAGCACCCGTATCTCCCATTGAACAGTCTGCAGCCCCCAGCTGTGCAGGCAGCTGACATCTACACAGATTACAAGCATCACGTGACCCATAAGAGCTCAGAAGCCTTATGTTGCATTAAGGGACTTCCTAGCACTGTTGTGGGAAACACCCCACTCACAACGGACCCTGCTGCCACCTAGTGGGAAGGAGGCACCCCATCTCTGGTAAGAAACTGGCCAGGCCCCTCCCAGGGAGTGACTATGTTGAGTTAGAAGGGCGCCCTTGGGCTGGGGTGCAGCTCAGCAGGGCAGTGCTTGCCTTGCATGCACAGAGCGCTGGGTTCCTGCCCCAGCCCACCAAAGCGAGGGAATGGGCTGCCATCCCTGGACATGAGACCTGGCGCTATCCTCTTCCAAGGGTGCTTGGAACCGAGTCTTCCCCAGTGACAAGGCTGTGATTTCACCCAATCCTGGCCTGCACAATGTCACCCTAGATCCATCTGGGCATCAGGCAGGCTTGGACACAGACTGAAACCAAATCAAAACCAAGATCTTGTCTAACTGGGAAGGAAACGCAGGGAGAGGAAATTCCAGACTGGCCCAGAACATTCCACAGGTCCTCCCTGCCCCCACCATAGCCGGGTCCTTACCAAAGGCTTTGGCGACATCTCCTGGACACGTGCAGCCTCCATCCTTCAAAGAAGAAAGAGCAAGGACAGGTCATCAGATCAGAGGGAGCTTGGCCAGGTTATTCCCTCCTGGGGTGACCTGGGGCCTGGGAGCTCATATCTCCAGGCCACAGCCCAGGGCTGGTATTTTCTGGTCCAGTCTGTGCCCCCAGATATTCCACCCTGTACTCCCAGGCTGCAGCTAGTCCTGTTTGGGTTGGGCCTGGCACCACCCACTCCTTGGTGCCAGGCACTGCCCCAGCCAGGAAACAGGAGGAGGCTGGAGTGCTGAGCTGCTGCAGGCTCCGTCCCCTTCTCTCAGCCCTTATGCAACAGCCCAGCTTCCCAGGCCAGCTCTGCCTTTCTCAGGGGTCACCTCTCTCTCCCTGCCTGGAGACTGATTTAATACAAGGGCTGAATTATTTTAAGAGCTGAGGAAAGGACACGAGGTCAGTCCCTTTCATCTCCTGCTCCCCGTGTACTGGGTAGTCAGCCTCACGCCAGGCTCTCCCCACCCACTCAGGGCACCAGTTTGGGGCTGGGCCACTGAGAAGCCAGACAGACCCTGGCTTCTCTTTATACCCAGCCACTCCAGGCAAGACTCCCAGGCTGCAGAGCTCCTAGCTTCTCCTGACACAAACTGCCCGGCTGCTGCCTGCTCTTTCCATGAGGCCAGGGAGAAGTTTAAGGAGAGCAAAGGTGGCAGGGGCGACAGGAACAGTGGCAGGGAACGTGACAGTGTCACAGCAGAAAGCTGTGCATCTGCAGGGGAAGCTCTGAGGCCTCAGAGGGCCCATGTGTGATGGGACCCACTCTGGGGAGGAGCAGAGAACAAGGTCACCTGGCTATTCCCAGGGAACGATGCACAGGAAGGTGCCTGGCCCTTGGCAGGCATCTACACAGAACGGGGTCAACCACTTTCCAAAGCGCATCTCGACCCAGCAGCACAGGTCTCTGCTTCTCTAGTGCCTACAAGCTGACCACTCCAGGAGCCAGCACTTCAGGCTTGCAAAGGGAGGCCAGGAGACTTCGCTTTCCCTATAGGAAGAGCACTTGTTCCCTGCATCAAGTGTGTTGTTCTGTGTGGCTTCCTCAACCCCCGCAGGGTGCAGGGCACCGACATGACACATAGGCAAGCGCTGCACTTGGGTTAGGTATGTGGCCTGAGCCCTCAGGTAAGGCCCAAAACGGGGCAGATGCTCTGTGACTCTTACTGCTGCCAACCCAGTGGGTATTTATATTCTTCAGGCATGAGCTCCACGCCCTTCACATGCCCTGTCACTTAATTTTCAAGTGTTCTACCACTTTATCAACACCAGCATTACTCACCAAGCTCCCAAACCATAACCTTAAATAGACTATGCTCTTCCTTCCCATTCAAATAGGTCGCTACCAATCCAACCTCAAAACAAAATGCTTCTGCTTGCTCACAGATGTGTGAAGACTTCCTACAAGCTCCTAAAAGTTTCCCAAGTTTGGGGGACAAGGCCTACTTGTATGCGCCATGTTACTGGGACCATAAGAAAAACAACCCCTTTTTTCCCCCAGACAAGCAGAGAAATGCAGTTAACGTGACATCAGGTTGAAACCAGAGCTTGGGTGTGAATGTGTGAAGCAGACAGTGTGCAGCTGACAGGCCTGACTGCACGTTTAACCACATCCCATCTACCTTCCCTCAACATTGGAAAACAAAGCACTGTGCACACTTTGAGCATTTACGTCACTGCCAAACGCTGCTCAAAGCAAGCTCTTGTGTTAGGAGACAGAGCAGAAGGGTGCCAGCCTGCGAGCCGAGACACGTTTCCTGCACACAGAAACCCACGGCTGCAGGAGGATGTTAAAGGAAAAACAATTTGGTGCATGTTCTTTCCACACAAATATCTAAACAGTGATTTCCAAGGGTTACTTGCTTTGTGTTTCAAGACAATTAACATTAACCGTCAGTAGCAAAGGTGTCATGGACACACTAGGTAGTTTGATTGGTGGATTTTCTGTGTGTTTCTTCTGCTTAAAAATAGTCACTCATGCCTTAACTGGAGAAAGGGGAGAAGGAAACCTGGGGAGAATGGAGTTGAAATCAAGCACCTTCAACACCGCAAGGAGCTAGCACGAACTTCACAGTCATTTTTCCAGTCACACATAAGAATCGGGAGTTGATCATTAGTAAGTGGGGGGGAAAGAATGAAACTTGGGAAACAAGATCAGAATTAGTTTGTTATCTTAAGTTTTTTAGGGCCTTCAGAGTAAGAGTCCCCAGCCCTATTTCAATTTTGAGACAGGGTCTTTCTAAGTTGCTCTGCTGCCCTGGCTTGGGGTCAAATGAACCTGCAATCCTCCTGCCTCAGCCTCCCATAACACTGCAATACAGATGTATGCTACCACGCCCAGTTTAAGTTGACTGCACTTCTGATAATGCTTATTTCCTTTAAAAAGCTTATTGGCACATCTGGTTATTCCCAGGCTAAGCCTATTTTGATGGGAAATCAAACAAAAGATTAAATTATCGTATTTAACCAATTTGGTTAGGCCTAAGTAATGGTGTGATGATAAAAAGAAAAATGAACTGGTCACACCCCGGTCTTTGGCCATAGAGGACATCTTGAATTTTTCTGCTCTCTGCCTCCCTGAATAATTGAAGCCCATGGAGGCTGCAATAAAGAGACACAGGAGACAAGGCAGGCCACGTAATCCCAGTTTAGCTGCTGGGTCTCCAGCCACTAGACCCCTCCTCTGATGGCCTGGCCTCCACCACCTGGAAACCAGGCCTCCCCAAGTGAGCCCCAGGTGACCCTCCTCACCCACCTTCAGGTGAGTCAGGGGCCAGGTCCTCCCCTCCATTACCTGTCCCTGAACACCTGCTCAGTTGCTGAGGCTTGTTTATCTCGGAGGTGCCTAAACACCTTTTAGTTCCTCCAAGGCTCTTCTGCCACCACCCCCTGAGCAGCCCTGTCACCTCCCAGGCCCAGCCCAGATCACACATCAGTTCCCTCCCCTCACATCAGCACTGCCTAAGGCAACCAGTTCCAAGTTCCTAAAGACAAAAGGAGGCTTCGCCCCCATTCCCTGCACTCCCTTCACCACCCCACTCCTGACACAGTAGCCTTGAGGTCCCAAATTTGTCATTCGGTCTTGCTTCCCCCAGCACTTTTCAGTTCCTTTCTTCTGTGTCCTCTAATGCACTCCAACAGGCATCTCTAACCCCTACTCCAGGAAACTTTCCCTGACCCCAAATTTGGGATTTCATGGCCTGTTACATACCCCACATACCCCGTCCTGGTCCCTCAGAATGAGATCTTACTTGGAAAGAGGACTCTCCTAGCCAACATGAGTAAGATGGGGTCATCCTGGAGCTGGGCAGCGCCTCCAAGAGTGCCAAGGTGCTTACAAAAGGGACAGATCTGGACACAGAGACACACGTACACACACAGGGAGAATGGCGGGGCCCGGAAGGGAGGCCCCAATCCTGGGAGCTGGAGGTGGGAGGAGAGGCGTGGGGCAGCTACTTCCCCAGTGCTGAGAGCCCTAGCAAATGGCCTCCCGGACCCCTGACCTCAAGGCCATCTGCAGGCCTGCAGAACGCAGCCCACCACCTGGTCAGTATCTGTGTTCAGCTACTACTGTGGCCCAGGGCCAGCCCCCTCCCCACCCACAAGATGTGCACACTGAAGACTAGGTCAGGAAGTGGGGCCCCCTCCTGCCCCCCACTTAGACCCCACACACACACTCACAGAGATGATGTGCCCCTTGAGGCCATGGGCAGAGTCTGCGCACTCTATCACCGCGCTTAGCTGGGGGTAGCCCACCCCGGTCTTGGTGCGGGTAGTGCACACAGAACCTGCAGAGGAAGGGGATGAATCTGACATAACAGAAGCCCCCACCATCACCTTCACGTGGCCTGCCCTGGTGATGGCAGTGAACCTTCCAGGGCAGAGGATACGTGACGTGCTTGGGGGCCATGAGGACTTGCTCTTCATCACTGCCCTCAGTCGATGTCCCAGATGTGGTTTCCCCTCCCCCACTGACCCTATCTCTATCATTCTTGCCCCATAAAGTACTCAAACTCCATTTCCCTCCCTCTACCCTTATACTCCCACCATACGCACTCAGTACAGGGATCTCACAGGGTCTACCTGCAGCTCCTGATGGCTTCTCTGCCTGTAGTGTTTCTCAAATTACAAACCTTTCCAAGCCTCGCTGCCTCCCCTCCAGTGAGACACAAAATCAATTGCCTTCCAGAGGTCCAATGGCCTTCCAGGGAAAAACGGCCTGGCCCAGCGCCTGGCTCTCAGCAAAGGAAGAACACACTGAACACCTTCCTTCTGGCCTCAGCAGGCCAGGCTGCTTGTCCTTCTCAGTCCTGTAGTCCACCTTCCTGTGGTCTGTGCTGAGTCCCCAAACAGCCCAAACCCTGAGGCCAGGACCTGGACACACTCCTGTCTCAGCCGCCTTCCTTCCACCATCAGGCCCTGACCTGGCTGGGTCCTCCGGCTGGGAGCAGAGGCTTCCCCACCATATGTCACCTCCTGCCCTGCAAATCTCACCACTCCCTGCAGAAAGTGAGCACCCCTCCCTCTGCTTCACCCAAATGTACTAGATCAAATGCCACCTGTGACCACCTGTCACCTCTCTCCGCTGCTGAGTCCTGACTTTGCAGTCCCTCTAGAGGGACAGGCTGCTCCCCACCTCCCCACCCAGAGATTTCTGGGTGTGATATTTTCTCTCTCAGCACTCTGATCTCTGTATCAGGCTCCCTCAGCCAGCCAACCCTTTCTCCTCTTTCCGTCTTTGTCCTCAAAAGCTGATGCCCCAAGGACATGCATTTCTCCCCGGCAGAAGCACTGGCATAATATTTGTGTAAGGATGCGAGGCTGTTTTCTCTGCTGGATGGTAAGTTCCACAGTTATTCACACTGTTGTCTAGCAGAAGGGAGGGAAAAGCCCAGTGCCTACTAAGGGCTCTATGAATAGTCACAGTGGAAGAATGCATGGACTCAAGAATGAATGAGTCACCACGTCCCTGCTGCGGCTCCTGCTCTGGCACTGGCTCTGCGGCTCCTGGACATTCTGTGACCATTATGGGGTGCTCTGGGTCCAGGCTAAAGGCAGACCAGCCTTATTCGGAACTCTTGCTCTGAATGTTATTAACGCCTTGAGTGGTAACACGAAAGCCACTCTAAAAGGAGTTTAAAGTCTCCTGTGTATTAAAAGCTTAGCTATTTTGTGAGCATAAAGGGCTCATCTTCCTAATGTTCCTTTCATAAGCAGCCAATTTCCCCAGAGGACTACAGCAGCGCTGAGACACGGCCCAGGTCCTGAGCCACAGCATGCCCTCTCGCGCTGCCTCAGCTCACTCTATCACAGGCTGCTTCCTTTTCTGACAGTGTCTTTGGCCGGGAATTACTTATGCAAATACTATTGTTTTTTGATCCCAAGTGAAAATATGCATCTTCTTTCCTTCTCATTGTAGTGTCTGGTTACTGAGGGATGCACAAGGAAGAATTTTAAAACACGACATGGGCTGGGGAGATAGCTCAGGGGAATATGTGCTTGCCTGGCAAGTGCAAGGTCCTGAGTTTAATCCCTGGTATCACCAAAAAAGAAAAAGAAATGGCAATGTTATCAACCGCATGTGCGTCAGAAGGAGCCCTGATTGAATGGAGAGAAAATTGAATGGAGAGAAGTGGGCCTAGGAGAGACAGCAAAATATGACAGACAGGTCCAGGTGAGGAGCCAACTGCGCTAACTTTCTGGGTCACGGGCCAAGTTCAAACCTGGCCTGCCAGCTGCAAGACTGGCGGCATGGTTTGGATCCTCCAAACTCTTAGATAAATCTGTGCCCTCACTGTCCGTTAGCAGTCCTCGTGGCTTCATCATGCTTCACCTTGCTCTTCGAGGTGTGGGCCATTAGCAACATGTGCATTCTCTTGCTCCACATCTGTATTTTGAATCAAGATGTCATATGCCAACCACCAGCCACATTTGGAAGGTGCGTGGGGATGCAAGGAAGTAGCGGAATGACATGTTTCTCAGATTTATCTGGAAGCTCAGTGATACTTTAAGAAAAAAAAAAAGTGTTCTGGACTCGTGGCTGAGCCATGCTTGCCTCCCTCCTAGCCACTGCAGTGTCCTCAGCTCTGGGTCCCATTTCTCCCACAGACAACTCTGCTGTCTCCCAACAGGTCTTACCTGGTCCGACTCCCACTTTGATGATATCTGCTCCGGACAGAATAAGCTCTTCCACCATCTCTCCTGTCACCACATTTCCTGCCTGAGAAAGAAGAATACAGCTCATGATTGGGGACAACAGCTGCACATCTGAAGGTGAATGGGGACTTCCGCACCCAAACCCAAGGATGTGTGTGTGCCAAAGCCACCAGGCTACCAGGGGACAAAAAGAAAAGGAAAACACTGGACCCAATTCTTGAAGACTATGTAAGTCTGAAGATGGTAGACTCAGCTGCTCCCCTGGCTTCCTTCTCTACAGAACAAAACACAGACTTGTGGAGACACCTGGAGACCACAGGGAAAACTGCCCCTGGGGGCTGATGGCTCTAAAAGGCACAGACTGAGGTCATTTTAGAATAAGAGGAGACTGGCGAGGAACTGGGTGAGGGCTTTTTCAACATCTCGGCAACGGACCAAACAAAATCTTCCAAGGGATCTAAGCAATGAAACACTTGATCAAAATCCTTACTGTTGGTCATAAAAGGCTTCAGAGAGTGAAACACTCCTTAAAAATCTCTGTGCATCACCAGAGGCAGCATCAGAAAACTGATCATCTCACAGTTGAAAACAGCACCAAAGCTCCCCCCGCTAGGGTGGGGTGCTGTTAGACATGCAAGGGCAGAGGGGCCCTGGGGACCACATGCTGTGGGCCACTGCACCACTTACAGAGCAGGAAGCTTTGGCCCTGCGAAGGAACACAGAAAGCCAGGAAGTGGCGGAATCCATCAACCAGAAGAATGCATCTGGTTTGGAAATAGTACAAGTTCTTTCGCTGTAGGAGTCTGGGAGCACAGAAATAGCCCTTTGTGTCACAACTCGCTGCCCCACGAATTCTTCAGCTGGGGCACAGGATACCTGGCAAGGGGCCCTGTTGAGTTCCCCCAACTCTGCAGAGTCACATCCCACAAGAAGCACCACTCATTCTACACTCCCCCAGCCCAAGGGTCTTTTCACGCTCTGGTTCCCAGAGAGGAGCTTTTTTTTTAACCTAGACAAAGTGACTTCTACTGCAGAAAAAAGGCTGTTGGAAAGGTGCTGAGGCGAGGACAAAGCCACTGTCATGCAAATGCCCGCTGATAGAGGACCATGGCAGGAGGCCCAGAAAGGATTAGAGGTGGGTTAGAGCTAAAGTTCTGGGCCCCTACATTCAGAGGAAAACTGTGAATACTTGGAACTCATACATGGAACAACACCACAAGAGCTTTCTACATAAAAATAAAGCATGCACCAACACACATGCTTGTACAATCAACAAATATCCTGGTAAAGGAAAATGTGTACAATTATGACAAAGCACTCACATAACAAGAACGCAGCAACTTATAAGAAAAACTCTTAGTAACTCACTAAATAAGCATCCAAGGACATGATCAAACTAATAATAGTGGCTAATTAAGAAGGGAAAGGGTTTAGCCTCCCTACTAATCAAATATAAGATACCAACATGGTACTATTTCTCCCTTAACAATGATTATTGCTGTGAACACTAACTGTTAAAGAGAAGACACCAGACTTTCCACCAGTGTAATGTCTATTTTAGGGCAAGTTTTCCTAGAAAGTGATTTGGGCATATAGAAGAAATGCCAAACTACGTGTGGCCTGTGAGCTAACAATTCTAAGATTCCCAAGGAAATCATTCTAAGTGAGGCCAGATGTAACTATAAAGATGCATCATTTTTAACAGTACAAAACCACAAATGGATTCCCAAAATAGAAATGATTGAACCATTTTAAAGGCATGTGGAATCTTTTTTGGTTTTTGGTTTTTGTATTAGATGTGTACTGCCAAAGACCAAACCTTCAGCCTCACACATGCAAAAATCAAACCAATAGCTGGGATGAGCTACTCACCAGCCCTGTGCAATGGGATTTATATATATATATATATATATATATATATATATATATATATATATATATATATATATTTTATTGAGAAAGAAGTATCAATGAGACAGTTTCAATCAGGTTTGTAGGACAGTTACAATAATTAATATATTGCACATTGTTGTCTTCATAGTGGTTATTCATAGTACATGATGCAGACATGATGTCTTGTCTAAACACTATTAGTTCAAAACTTTCTTCTCATTGAACTAAGAGAAAGTAGCTGTGTATCTATGCTAACTATTTTGTACAAACAGATATATTTTTTCACTACAAAATGGTGCTTCATTTATATCCCTTTTTGTTTACTTTTTTCAAAGACGGGTATTTCATTGCCATTCATATATTGTAGGTGCATGAATTCAGCAAAGTAATCCAATATAGTACAGTAGTTTATAATAGTAGTGGGTTGGGGGAACTACCGGCTCGGGCACCCCTCCTGTCCCTCTCTTGGTCAGGAGCTTTCTTTCCCTCAACAAATATATTCTGCTCATAAAAAAAAAAAAAAAAAAAATAGTAGTGGGTTATCCACAGGACTGGCAATGTCAGAAGTTGTTGACTTGAGCCTTTTACAGCTCAGCCATGCAATGTTTTTAGAGAAGTTTAATGGTGTGGGAAATGCTTAAATATTTTCAGTATAATTCTGGAAGAAATAAGATCTTGATCTTGTTTTGTGTGTGTGTGTGTGTGTGTGTGTGTGTGTGTAGAGAGAGAGAGAGAGAGAGAACACAGAAAGGGAAAGAAAGTAGAAAGAGGGGAGAGAGGGACGGAGAGAGAGCGGCGGGGGGGGGGGGAAGAGACAGTGAGAAAAAGAAGAATGAGAATGAATCAGGTCAGACATGGTGCATGACTGAGATTCCAGTGACTTCGGAAGTTAAAGAGGAGAATCCAAGTTTGCGACTGGCCTGGGCAACTTGGCAAGATCTCTATCTCAAAATGAAAAATGAAAAAAAAGTCTGCAGTCATAGCCCCATGGCACGAACCCTTGGGTTCAGTTCCTAGGACTGCAAAAAAAGGGAGGGAGGGAGAAAAGAAAGAAAAGAGAAGCTAACAAACTGTGTTTAAGTAGAAGGATTATCAGGTTTCTATTGATTTTCTTTGACTTTTCTGGTTTTACAATAGAAAATACATGCTCTTATAATTAAGTGGGAGAGTCTTTTGGTTTGGCTGTGGTTTTGTGGTGCAGTGGACTGTAGGAACTCTGTACTTAAGAAAGGATAAAGACCAGAGAAAGAAGGCTAAAGCTCACACTGAGCACTGGTTCACCCACATAAAAAACAAAAAAATCAACAAAATAAAACATAACTCTAAATCCTCCACAATCGCATTTTCAAGATGGACTCTTTTTTTCCTCCCAGTCTGGCACCATGTAGGAACTAGCTCATGCTCAAGGATGTGCTCTGGACAACATAAGCCAACTCTTCCAAATGGCAAGAGGAGCAGGAGGTGGGGAGGGGGGAGAGTTGTTTATATAACACACAGGCACCAACTCCACATGCTGAATATAATCATTATGTAAGGCAAACATGTACCCAGAAAATTTTAAAATTTAAAGTTGCAAGCCAAAATAAACCTGTTTGATTTATAAGAGTTTTTTTTTTTTCCTTTAAAAAAATAAAGCCCAGGCCGGCAAGATAGCTCAGCAGTCTAAAGCACCTGCTTAG